TTTTTCTGAAACGTTATTTAAAAAAAATAGCTATTTTAAAATTTAATTAATCTGAATTGAATCCAATATTCTTTTAGTTTAAAATATCGTAGAAAAGAATTTTTAAAATGTAGGTGGGCGTTGGTAATTTAAGAAGATAATGAAGATAAAATTACACGGCGAATACAACGTAAACTGCTTTATATATATATATATATATATATATATATATATATATATATATAATATATCCAGTTAAAAAATATATATTATTTTAAGAATTCTAATATTTTATCGAAGTTTAGGTACTTTGTAGTTTTGATTATGTCATTTACGGATATCCGTATTTATAAAAATCGGTTCGTTTACACACACACACACACACACACACACATTCAAAATTCCTTTTAGAATACTGGAAGTCGCTGAATTACAGTAAGTTGCTCCATTTATGATTAGTAAATAAAGTTTTTATTTAATAACAGTATAACTTGACCCTTATAGAGTTTTAAAAGATTAAAAATTTATACATTATTCTAATTAAATTTAAAAAAATGAAAACAATTCCTGTAAAAATTCATTAGTCATCGAAAAATCTTAATTGAAAATTAAATAAAATCTTAGAGATTTATTGATTTTTTATTTTGACATTCAGAAAAATTTTCTGCAGCTGAGGCTTCTGTTTGACTAAAAGAAAAATTATGATTTAAATTATCCGAGTTGTTTTTATAACTACTATAAACATTAAGAATAATAAAACATAAAGAATTCCTCGAAATTTCACAAAATTAAATACAGAGGTAACACGTGTATAAAAAAGAAAAAGAAAAAAATACTTTCACCAATAATTTCCAGAAAAGAAACATTTAAAAATAATTTCATTAATTTGTGAATAAGTTCTGTAAGTTTAATTAAAATTCAACAATTAGCTGATTTCTGCTAGAATTTCCAAATTCGTGTTTTTACCCGCAAAAAGACGCCCAAATTCTCTATGCAAATTTCTGCTTCTACTTTCGCGCCAGAAAAATAAAATTTTTACCAAAATTTCGAAGTTTCCAAAAAGAATAAAAAAATGGTTTTAGATGATCAAATTCTTTGGTCACTCCTCTTAATATCAACAAAGATTTTGTCTTTGTTAAATTTTGGGCATTTTTTTTTTATCATGTATGTACTTAGATAATATTTATGTATGTGCGCATGTATATGTAAAATTTTGTTAAATTCGCCAAGATCTTTCTAATTTTTTATTAGACTTTCCCAAATTTTAAAAGAATAATATAGACCAGAACTTTCACCGATTATGATGAACGGGTTCTCTCTCAGGGAGGTCCTGTGTCTTGAGCGCCCATTGGAACTTAAACTCAACCCATACCTAGTGGGACACGTACGTAGAATCCATCGCTAAGGATTTTGGAAAAATGGTCGGTTCCTGGTCCCACTCTAGTAAATCCCAGACTCTTCCACTTTCTACCTTTTACAAAAGCCAATTCAGACCTAAAATTAAGTACTGCTGCAATATAACACGCACGCTCCGGCCGATCCTGGGTCAAACCTGGTCAGCAGTGACCAGATGATATGACCCTTGCCCCATGACGCCTATACCAGAAGATGACTTGGTCCTCAGGTTCGTAGGACGATTGATTTTATTGCAGGGTAGATCCCACACTAGTCGATACTGTCGCTGGTCAACGGGTCGTTGGTCGCTGGTTGTCACGTTCCACACTTTGCTCCGTCCACCTTGTGTTTCTTGATCACAGAGCTGGCGGAGATCGTGTATCGTAAGTAATCGTAGCGTTGCTTCGAACCACAAAATTAACCCTCCCCACTAATTGTTAAATATACCTTATTTCAGTAGAAAAGCTCTTTCTATTATATTATTTAACAATCATGTAATCCATTCTTTTCCTTACTTTTTACACACACACACACACACACACACACACACACACACACACACACACACACACACACACACACACACACACACACACACTTCAAAAATGGGCGAAGCAATTTCCGCTCTTTGACAGGCAGACATAAATCAGTTTCTCGATTCTGCCTTCGTTTTCAAAATTACCAAATATTATAACACAATTGACCCCTTCTTCCGTCTGGTAATCATGAGACATGTTTTCGCAATTTCCACTTTAATTTAGAGGACATAAATCGATTTTTCAATTTCTGCTTTCGTTTCTAAAATTCTCAACTAACCTTGAATGTACTTTTACTATTCCTTCTTGGCCCTCGTGGGATGAGGTCTTCCACATGTCCTCTGATAATATATTTTGCCAAGACCAATAAAGTCATTCTTTTTAGGTCTGTCTATTCTTCTTTCTTTCAGTTTATATGTAATTCCGTACTTTTAACCCTCTACGTCTGTTCCAGTTCATATTAAAGTTTCATTTTAAATTAACCCTTTTCCTTTACCAGTGTTACATAGTGTCCCAGTAATATATGGACAGGAGCTTCCCAGTTTTCACTTACAACTTATAGAGTTCAAAAGCATTTCTGCGTCCTTGTGGGTGATGAATTATTTCCCACCCTGCAAGTCTTTTCTGACAGACGAAACGTCGCAGAGCTCTATCGTTTCATCCATGGAAAGTGTTTAGACGAAACACATTCCTTAGTTGCATCAGTTCTAACCTTCGCGACTAAGACCTGCCATGCCACGCATATTGTAGCTAACCACCGTCACCCCCTTCGTATTCCATTGGTGAAATGTAAGTTCAACTCAAGCAGCTTCTTCCCACGTTTGTGGAATCGACTTACGAAAGGATGCTGCCCCGATTATTACAATCTTGGCCTGTTCAAGTCTAGTGTCAACCGTTATCTTTTCACATATCTCCATAAACTGTGCCCCTTACTCAGTAATCCTCTCCATTGAGTGGCTCTTGGAGCTTGTACAGGGTGAACACTATTCTAAAAAAAAAAAAAGTAAAAAAAGAGAAGCAAAATTGTGGCTAAAGTCTCCAAGATTTATGTTCAAGTATCTTGGGTCGTTTTGTTGATTTATTTTGTTTTACGGCATATCAGTCTCAATGGGTTATTTAATGCCGACAGCATTTTTAGGATAGATTCGTATGAATAGAATATGTATTCTTTCGTTTAGATTGGTTTGGTTTATTTTGTTTTACGGCATATCAGTCTCAATGGGTTATTTAATGCCGACAGCATTTTTAGGATAGATTCGTATGAATAGAATATGTATTCTTTCGTTTAGATTGGTTTGGTTTATTTTGTTTTACGGCATATCAGTCTCAATGGGTTATTTAATGCCGACAAATTTTTTATTGCTGGTAATATTTTCTTTCAAAATAAACTATAGTTGGTAATATTTTATTCTAAAAAAATGTATTGCTGGTAATTTTTTTTTTTTTACAAAGTATTTCTGGTATATATTAAAATCTATTTTTACACTTTAATAGTGTTTTGACCCCAGTTTGGGTGTCAACTATTTGCCCATAACTGGGACCCTAAAAAGTGCTACCACCCCGGGTCAGGGTGGACCTGTGAACATCAGCTATTAAGAGGTGGTTCCACGTTCCTCAAAACCTCCTGATCAGAGGCCTTGCTGTTACATGTAATTTATCGTCTAACCCAAGACGTGGATGTAGTTTACCGTCATACACAGGAAGGTATCTTGGATCGTCTCAGTCATTATCAAGAAACAGATGTTGGCAGTATGGTAGACTGTGATTACTGATAAAATGTTAGAAAATAAGATAAATTTCAAAAAAAGATAAATTTTAAACAAAAGATAATTAAAAAAAAGTTAGATTAAATAAAAGATAAATTTGGAAAAAAGAAAAATTAAAAAAGAAAAATTTAAAAAAAGATAATTTTTTTTTTTAAAAAAAGATAAATTTAAAAAAATGCTAAATTAAAAAAATCTTTATATAAAAACTTCGTCTCTAAACTTCAAAAGAGTAAACAAAAAAAAAAAAAAACCTAAAAAACTATAAAACTCATCATTGAACTACATCAACGTAAACGAATTTCACTTGTTAAACAAGATACAAGAAATACGCCGGAATGAAAAATACATTAAAATCAAATAAAAAAAAGAAGTCATCAGTAGTTTTAAAATAATCTTATAATTAATGATTGTCATATGGCGTAAACCGTTGCGGTATTTGTTGACGACGAATTCCTTTTAAAAACTTGTTTTTCTTGTTTTTCTAGCTTCACCCACTTTGTTGACCTACTTTCTTTCTTTTTTCTTTCTTTCTTTCTTTCTTTCTTTCTTTTCTTTTTTTTTTTTCTTTTCTTTCTTTCTTTCTTTCTTTCTGCTCGACTTTCCTTTCAATCTCTCGTCTTTGTCCTCTTTCCTTCTTTGCCTAACTCTCTTTTGCTCTCTTTGCTTGAGTTCATTCTCTCTTACACTTTCTCTCACTTTGCTCATTCTTCTTGTCTCCTGTTTACACACAGTCTTTCTTTTTCCTATTCTCATTCATTCACTACTCTCTATATCACACCATCCATTGTGAGATTTCTCTGTTTCGCACCTTTTACATCTTTTTCTCTTACAGCTCGCCGATTTTGTCCAACCTCTCTTTCCCACTCCATTTGCTGCGTTCTCTCTTTTACTACCATTGCTCTATGATTCACACTCATATTAATCGATCTCTCTCACTTTTATACACTTATCTCTCTCTCTCTCTCTCACTCATTATACTCTTCTCTTTCTCTCACTTTCACGTCTTTTGTTCTCTTTTTTAACTCACTGCTCTCTCTTTAACACCTCCACTTCTCTTTCACTCATTTTATCCGATCTCTCTCCCTTTCATACATTTTCTCTCTCTTCTGCTCTCTTTACTTTTCTCTTCCATCCCTTCTTCATTTCCTCTTAAACCGTTTGTTCTTTCTCTCTTTCTCTGTAGCCCTCTCAGCATTTAGTAGATCTCGCCTTTTGGTTTTTCCTTTTGTTTCAATATTGAAAGATCAAATGTTGTTATTTAATTATTAAAAACATTATTTTCCTGATATTTTTTTTATCTATATACTTGAATTTATTTCATCAGGTGAAGCCGTTTTGTGCTATAGTTGTTCGTACACGTACACAACCCAACATGTCGGATACGAATGTGTTAACGCGACTGAAGAAGTGAAAACAGCTCACACTGTCAATTGTCCCGGCCAATATTGCAGAGACAGAGTCGTCTACAAAAAACGTGAGATGCTTTTAATGGATTTTTGATTTTTGCTTACAGTGTACGCATGCGCGCACACGCGAGGCTGATGTTAGCAGAAAAAGTCGAATATATAACAAATATTAAAAAATTACAAAAAGTAATATAATAGAAAGAGCTTTTCTATTGAGATAAGTTATTTTTTTAAAGGCAATTCACCCCAAGCAAGGTGGGAGTGCCACTAGCACGCAAGGGGTTAAAGAGGATTGAGAACAAGAGTAAAGAGGCGTGTTTGAGGAAGGGAAACAGAGGAAGATGGGGAACAAGCTCAGGGTGTCAGATGTCGATTGACATTACACTTGAATATTTGAAGATTATAGTCATCGGGGAAGCAAGTAAACAATGTAATCCAATGTAATGGATCATGTAATCCATTCTTTTCCTTACTTTTTCAACACACACATACATACATACATACATACATATATATATATATATATATATATATATAATATATATATATATATTATATATATATATATATATATATATATATATATATATATATATATATATATATATATATATATATATATATATATATATATATATATATATATATATATATATATATATATATATATATATATATATATATATATATATATATATATATATATATATATATATATATATATATATATATATATATATATATATATATATATATATATATATATATATATATATATATTATATATATATATATATATATATATATATATATATATATATATATATATATATATAGAATATGTTGTTAAATATAACGAGCAACGATATATATATATTATGTTTTTGTTAGAATATGAGTTTTGTTTTCTAAACTTCGTATAATTGCTTTAATTTCGGGTGGAAAATAAAACAAAACTGTCCAAGATTTGAATATTTTTGATTATGCTGTTCCTTGATCTAAGCTTTCGGTTCACATGAGCCATCCTCAGGGTGGTTGTATGGACATTTAAACAAAAATATTCGCCATCAAAGAATAAAAATAGTATCATAAATTTACGACCTGCGTCTGCTATTCCGTGACCGTTATCGCCGCATAGCAATCTTGTATGTCAACATAACAGAATTTTATTTTTGATGGTGAATATCTTTGTTTAAATGTCCGCATAACCACTCTGAAGAAAGCTCAGATCTAGGAACAGCATAATAAAAAAAAATATCCACATGTTGGACAGTTTTTGTCTTATTTTGCCCGAAATTAAAACAACTATACGAAGTTAAGAACGGCTTATGATCAAACATGGCAGCCATTCGTTGTCTGTTATATTTAACAATATATGTTTAAATAATAATCTCCTGCCTCAACACACACACACACACACATATATATATATATATATATATATATATATATATATATATATATATAAATATATATATATATATGAAAATGTGTGAAATATATAGGAAGGAACTGGTTAGGTAAGTAATCCAAAGTTCCTTAGTATATTAGTTATTATTTTAAAAAAATAGTGCTCGATACAAAAGTAGATAAATAAATATTATTTATTTATTTATATGATTTAACTTCGACATGAGAGGTTATTAAAAAACAGAGCCGAAAATTCAAATAATTATATTGAAGTTTTGGCTCTTGTTTTGAAACACGAGACCTCTTATGTCGCGAGTTGAGTCTTATTTATGAATAAATAATTATATTATAAATTTATCATATAGACAAAAACAGTTTACTCACTACAAAGATGCAACTTCGTTTCGGTGCATTTCAATTGCACCTCGACTGGTGAGAACCAAAATTGGTTATGAAAAATTCTGCTTGTAAGCAAGCCGTATGTGAAACGTCACTTCCTTTTTTTTCTCCATTTGTTTGGGAAAAAATATACATAAAGCAAAAAGTTGATGGAGTGAAACAATAGTGCTTGTTGATAGCAGTTTGGTGAAGGATGGGTGAGGTGTTAAATGATGGCTAGTTTGAAAAAAATCCTTGTTGATAACAACGCTCAAAAGTTTAGGCACATAATTTCATTAATTATTTATTCAAAAATATGATTCCAACTCGCGACATAAGAGGTCTCGTGTTTCAAAACAAGAGCCGAAAACTTCAATATAATTATTTGAAGTTTTCGGCTCTTGTTTTGAAACATGAGACCTCTCATGTCGCGAGTTGGAATCATATTTTTAAATAAATAATTATATTTATGCTCTACTTTTGTATCGAGCACTATTTTTTTAAGCGAGGAAGAAAGGTGGGAATAGGAGAGAGAAATACGATGAAAGAGGTAGGAGGGATGAATTCTAACGATAGTTATTGTAGTAATTAGGAATGCTTTTTTTTGGGGGGGGGTTATTATATATATATATATATATATACAAAAAACAAGATAAAGTTGAATTGCATATATTTATGTTGGAGTTATCACTACTAATTCTGTAATCAAAGTGTTTTGTAAATTAATAAATTTAGAAGTGGTGATTTCTTCTTGTTATGTTGAATATATACATTATTTGGGTTAAAGAAAAGCAACAAAAAACAGTTTTGATTTAGAAATTAAAATATAAGTAGAAAAATAGATAAAAATGTATGGGATATTAATATAACTTTTATAATCTAATTTTGACCTATTGTCGGACAGTATAAGGTGTAGGATAAGTATGGGTGTAAAACAATTTATCTGAAAGCATTACAAGTAATATAAATGCACAAAAAATATTTTAAGAATCATAATCTAAGATAAATTAATGTAGAGGTATATAAGAGGGTAGGAAGTATATCAAAGGAGGTGAGTTATAATTTTAAACGTTTAGAGTTATGGATTTAAGAATTTAGCAAGGTTGTAATGTTAGATCCTTAATATGTCTACAAAAAACGGTGGTTTCATATCTTTGATTTAATAATTGAGTGTCTTGTATGTTAGCTTGAGAAGGACGTAATTTTTTTAGATTTGAAAATTTTTGCTAAGATTCAATCGTGGACTTATTGAGATCTAGCAGGAGAGCCCGGCGTTGCCCGGGGATGTAAAAGTAAGAGATAGATCAAGTATCGACCATGATAAAGACTGAAAAATAAAATTGACAAAGATTATTGTTTAAGGTTGTTTAATTATTTTTTTTTTTTTTTTTTTTACAAATTGGTCAAACTCAAACAAAAACATTGTTTTCAATCGTTATGAGTCTACCAATTGAATAGAATTTTATTATAAACAATTGTCTTGTAAATGGAATTTTTAAAGCATTCTGAATGTAAAAATAAAGAAAAAAAGTGTGCAAGACAATAAGAAACACTACCTACCAAAAAAAAGTGAAGTTTTGTTGAAATCGGTTGAAAAATGTAGGAAATCCTATCTCATATATAAACGAACACACACACACACACACACACACACACACACAACCTGCGTTTTATAATAAGTATAACGCGATATGAGATATCCCCCTTTCATTCTCACAATGCCTCTTAATCGTGTTTTCAAATTGATTTTGTGCAAAAACAATTGTTTTTCCAATTTACACACACACACACACACACACACACACACACACACACACACACACACACACACACACACACAATCTGCGTTTTATAATAAGTAAGATATTCCGTCAAGGTAAGTTACTTTCTTTTTTAATAAGTGTGACATTCTTTAGAGCAAAGTTACGGTTGAATTTCTTTCTATGTATGACTAATGCATTTGATAAATTGTTGTATATAATATCCTTTTTGTTTTCATAGATACGTTTTTATTAAATTTTCTGCAACTTTCTTCTATGTATTTTGAGTAGCAATTGTGACAGTTTATTTTATTTTCAGCATTTTTCTTATTATAAAAAAAAACAAATTTAACAACATCTTTTACTCACTTTAGTTTATTAGACATGAAATTACGTTGCTTAGCATCCAGCATAATTTACGTAGACTTTTTGTTGTGTAGATAACCCAGCATTCTCTACCTCTATTATTGAAATCTGGACTTGTCCATCCTTTATGGAACAGTAATAAAAGTTGGGCTGCAAAGGCGTAGCGCTTTGCAGTCATACACTTGTTGCATTGAACTACTGTATTCTCAATCCATGTTCTCATGAGATTAAACCCTTCTTCAGTCAACCTTTTGTTTCCATTGTTTTCCTTACAGTATTACTAAGCAGTAACTTTATAACACTTTTCAGTTAACTTATGAATATTTATAAACATTTCTTAAATTTAACATACTTACTTTTCTTTATAAATACATGTTGCAAAATAAAATCATTACATGTGCCTTGATCAGCTATTGTTCATCAGAGGACGAAACGCATCGGCTCAGATAAATTTTCCTTTGATCTTTATTTATATTGTCCTTTTACATTTATATAGTTTAGTTTTATCCAAAAATTTAATGTGTGTGTGTATGTGTGTGTATAATTTATTCGAAAATTATAACATAAATATGTTATAAAATCACTACAAAAATAGCCATTTTGTTTCAACACTTCTGGTGTCTTATCAAGAGATGCTGTGGAATGTAGAATAAAGCCTTTTAAAACTCTTTATTCCACAAAATAGTTATTTTTGTAGTGATTTTATAACATTTTTTTAATGATTTTATAACATATTTGTTATAATTTTCGAATAAATTACATTTGCTCTACTCTGTATTGAACACTCCTTTAAGAATAGTATTTTGGTTATTGCAATTTATTCTGTATACACCAATCCTAGGCTTGGATATATATATATATATATATATATATATATATATATATATATATATATATATATATATATATGCGATCGATCGTATACAAATTCATATAAATACTCTATAGTGTAAGAAAAACAATGCTCAATGTTAAATAACAGAGCTATTTAATGTACATATTAAGAAATATACATAATATCTTATATTAATTAAAAAAAAATATATATTTATCGCTTGAAAATTTCATCGGCATGAAAGTCGGAGTTGTGCAATTAATGTAAGATATTATGTATATTTCTTTAGGTTTTCTGTAAGGTTATTCATTAAATCTAA